ATTAACGATGTTTTTAATTTATTGATATATATAAATATGCAAATATTTAAAAACATTAATAAGTTAAACGACTGTCCATCCAGTTCAACCATTAGTCGACCACTAATGAACCATTAAACTATTGTAGTTTAATCAGTTCGATGAACGATCCAGTTTTAATTATTTTTGCATAAATTATCGAAAATGAACCAAAACGTAAACAGTACAAAATAATTGGAAACCAAACCACAAAAGCAAATCTAACCAGCCATATTGGGAAATTTCTTTTTTAGGGAAAATAATAATAATAATAATAATAAAACAGAAAATTATTTCTGGCCAGCAATGGCATTCAGACAGAGAAACTTTCGTGAAAATTTCGAAGTAGTGCTTATTTAAAATCCTTTGACGGTTCTTTTTCAAAAACCATTTCTGTAGTTCCTACCTTTTGTTTTTTTCCTTTATGTTGTTTTGCTTAGAGAGCATATGAGTACCAAGTAGGAAAATACTACGTGTAATCGGTTACGGTTTTGCTATGAAGCCAACAGTTGGCTCCATAGTGGAGTCAACCTTCTATATACGATAAATAAATCTACCATATTCTCCGATTATTTACATAACACTAATATAATTTTATTTATTAATATAATAAGCTATGGGGCCAACTGTTGACTTCATAGCAAAACCGTAATGTAGTTACATGTTTTACATATTTACGTGTACTTATTGATGTAACATTCATCATTTAAGTGTTCTAATTTTTTTTGAAAATGTGATACTTAAATTATATTTGAGCAAGCATTTTTTTCACACAAAAAATAAACTGTATTTAATTTTTTCGTACCACATTTTCAAAACATTTATTTTCACCACGTATAGTGTGGTCATGATCGCATCATATGGTAATAAGATTGCACCACATAATCACATTACATGATGATAGCACTATGTAATTGATAGCACGACAGAATCACACTTGGCCGTGTTATACAATAACATATTATTTGATTGACTCAAGTGGTAAATAGTTTGATGTCGCTTAAGCAAGGTCTCGGGTTCGAGACATTGTGGATGCAGAAAACTCTTGTAGGGAGAGGTGTACGACCCGGGTCGACCAACGAATTAGTCGGGGCATAGCTCCGGATACCGTGGCTGACTACCAAAAAAAAAAAAAATCTAATTCAACTTTAACTTAACCTCATTATAATTAATATTATTCATATAATTGAATAATACAAATTAATCATTCTTGCAAATAACATTGATTTTAATTCACTATTCATTCACTCACATAGTTTTGACTACATATTATTTCCAATTATTTATCTCATATTTTCACATCAACTCGATTTTAATCATTTTATTTTAATACATTCTTAAAGTCTCACTTACAACTAATCATACCAATTTTTTCAAAATTAATTCTGGTTAACAAAAATAACTCATTTTGAATAGATATTTTGGTAAATAAACGTACATACCCTTATTAGATATAGATTTGATTGAGTTTTGATTGATTTTTTTTTGATTGAACATAGTTAATTATTTTTTTTAAAAAAAAATAAAAAAGCGGTTGAGTTAGGTTTGTGTAGAATTTTGAGTTTGTATTAAAATAATATTGAAACTAAAATGATTAAAATTGATTTGATGTAAAAGTAAGAGAAAAGTAATTGAAAATGATAGGTAGTTAAAATTATCCGAGTGAATGTATAGTGAATTAAAGTTGATGTGACGTGTAATGATAATTAATAAATATTTGATTAATTGATATAATTTAAC